GATTTTTTTTTTTTTTTAAATTTGCATTTTGGTTTACTAATTCTAAAAGATTATGTATACATCTAATCTAAAACACTATATTATATCAAATATTGTCAAACATCTTTTGCAAAATTTGTGAAATGCAAAACAAGCGAACTCTTATATATGCATCAACGTTTAAAACGCGAATTTTTTTGTGTTTATATGTATATGTGAAACGGAAAATAAAAACTAAATTTCTTTATATCTTTGCAACATGTAAACGCAGGAGAATCATCCCTTTGGCGTTTGCAATTAACTAAAATAATTCTTAAAACACTACGAGTTATGACTTATGAGTTGATATAAAAACTAAAGGCAAACAAAAAATGGATGCCATATTTACCTGAGCAATTGGTGTGAAGATACTACCACGAGGCGGTTTATTCCTATAAAAGTTAGTTCCAGCGACAAGGCTGATCACCCCGGCAGCCATAACAGCCGCCGAGACACCAAAACCAACGTCCATGCCGGAATGCGTCTGCACCCAAACAAGGAGCGTGAGTGCAATAAGCTGACCCATTGAGAAGGAAAAGTAAGCCGCGTTGAAGAAACTCGATAGCTTCCTCATTTCTTTCCTTTGAAACTGGTCCGCACCGTGAGATATGATGTTTGGTTTGAGACAGCCACTCCCTAAGGCCACCAAACTGAGTGAGGCATAGAGAGTGGCCGCCTGGTAACCATTTGCCTCTATGCAATGTATTTTAGTATTCTTCATGTTGCATTCTGGTGGCCTTAGCGCTGGGAGATGAGCTTGGACTGACAATAATATGAATCCCTGTTTTCACAATTTACATGTTTTAATTAATCATCTTAATCCTTTGTAATTAAAATCTAATAAAGCTAATATGTATTACTCAGGTGTGTGTGTATTATCAAGCTGTAAATTGTGTTACTAGACTGTTGTGTTATCAATTACTAGCTAAAAACAGAACACTATACCAACATATTTAATAACCCATTTGCTTTTCCAAAGAACCGAAAGTTTACCAGAAAATATTTAGTTCAATCACTTTAATTACAACTTTACGTTAAAGTTTAGGACTTTTGTCTTTTAATAGCCTGTTTTATATCACAAGTTACTAGTTAGAGATGAAAGGTGGTGTAGAATATTCAAGAGCATCTAAAATAAAAACAAGAAAGGCGAAGAGAGAACATACAGAGATTTCTACTACGCCGAAGACGACCATGGTGCGAAAGCTTCCAAGGTATGAATCAGAGAGGAAGCCACCAAGAAGCGAGAGAAGAAACACCGTTCCTATAAAGTTAGTCACGAGGTTTGCGGATTTCGACAGAGGAAAGTGCATCTCGTTGAACACGTATGTGATCAAGTTGTTCCCAACAGCCGCAATC